AGTCTTATTTTGTGGCAGAACAGAAATTACAGGTTTTCAATAGTGTTTCTTTCTTAAAAAATTGAAAGCACCACTATTTTGAATCCCTATTGCTTCAAGGTAGTTGTTTGGAAAGCAAAGGGGGTCCAGAGAGATTCATGTGAAGCGAGAAATTGGTGGCCCAGTTTTCCCCAGGCCAGGCACATTCAGCTCTCCTGAAATGTTTTCATTTATTTCCGGGCATGGATAAATTTGCTTGCCTGCACTGGAATTTCACCTGTCAGCGTAAACAGCCGCTTTTGCAGCAATCTGCCTCTCAGGCCCTGCCGCTGGAGGCCTGTGCTTCGCTGCTGGCAGCTCATCGAGGAGCACCCAAAGGAAACGTAGAAACGAGGCCACTCAGTTAGAAGAGGCAAGATACTTCCTTATGGATAAGGAAAGATGGGGAGAAAAATCGTTAGACTGGCTGCACTCTTTAAGTGCTGTGTATAATGAAGGACTATAGGGTTGTTTTTTTCTTAGATGGAAGTCACTCTTAAACAGGAAAAAGAAATACTAATACACTGAGCATCATTTCACTAAAAGATTCACGCAGCTAAGCAGATTTAGCTCTGCTTTTAAATAAATACAGGGAAATGTTTAACCCGTATTGTGTTGCCACAAAGCCCGTGCTGATCACACAGAAGCTTGGGAGGTCCAAGGACAAAGGGATTGGCTGCTGGAAACAGCCCTTTTCTGCACATGCTTCTGCACCCAGTCCAGCAACAGCACAGTTTTGTCAGGATTACAACGGGAAGGAGGGAGTGTTACCAGTTCTTAGCTCTCACTAATAAGAAAATGGGAAGAGAACTGTATCGCTGCATGCTCAAGGTAGTAGCCAGTTTTCCTTTTTCTCTTTCTTTTGGATGGTCGTTTAAATAGTTACAGTTTGTGACTTAGTATCAATAAGTTTGGTTTATCTGAATAGGGGAATTGTAAGGATATGGAGTTTACTCCTCTGGAAATGGAATTTATGTCTGGAAGGGGGAATAAACCTCTGCTGTGTGTCTCACTGAAGCATTTGACTTTGCTTAATTATCTAGGTATTACAGTCAATACAACTATAATTTATTTGATGTCTGGGGAGGAAAGACATTACTTTGCAATGTATTAAAGATAAATGAAATTCGGATTTGATTTTGATTATTATAATATTGGATAATTTTGATTATTATAAAATAACAAGAAAAAATAGCACATTGTTTTAGAGGCTATAAATACAATCTGTGTTAGACTTTGTGTCTTAGTAAATGTATTTGTGAGGATGTGTGTATGAGAAATGGAAAACTGAGCGATTATTTCTGGTATACTTTCAGGATATTGTTTTCTATTACTAGCTTGTCAGAATCATCTGGGGTTGGCAACCGCCAGAAATAAGATAGATAGGACAGAAAGATGGATTACTGGCTCAACCAACAGGGTACTTTTCAGAGGACTACTCATCAGTCCTTAATTCTGAAAGAAAGAATGACATGAGATTGAATAGTTGAGCTCTGTAATACTGAATACCATAAAACTGTGCTTAAACATCACAGAAACACAGAATGGTTGAGGTTGGGAGGGAATATACTTACGTACATTCTATATATCACAAAACAAACCTTTTTTCAGTTCCCTATGACTTTTTTTTTGTATTAAATAACTTTGTGAGTCATTGTAAACTAAAAGGAAATGCTAAATTTATCTATGTAATTAATTTAAAGAGAAACCTAGGTATTGCCTTTTCTACTACATTCAAGTTTTCCATTAAGAACATTAGAATGTTTTTAATTACTGTTCTGAATATATTTTATCTAAAATCATGTGGTCAGTCTGTAAAATGAAAATGGAATTTTTGTTTTTTGATTTTTTTATATTTGAACTTTTTGCATGATTTTGTATCATCATCTTTGCTCTTTTCATTCTTCATTGTCCTTGCCTGAAGTCTATCCACACTTAATCTATATTAGCATAAATGTTTCTAAAGCAACTATACTATTTGAATTTTATCTTTCTCACACATTTTTAAACAAAGCATTATACAGTTATTAATGCTCAGGTGCTGAAGAGTAACAGGTTTATATTACCCATCCACAACATGCTAATAGAAGAAAGAAAATGAAAAATTACTTAAGCACAAATATGTCTAATATATTAGCAAACGTGTCATATTTAATCTTTAGGCTTTTTATTAAACAAATTGGGTTTGAGTACATTTTTAAACCTTTTTCTTTGCTCCTCCTCTTTCTTTTTGTTTTGTTTTGTTGTGTTGTGTTTTGATTCATATATTCGTGGTGTTCTCTAAGGTTACGAATACTCCTCCATTAATTAATAAGTTTGGATGTGGAAGTATCCCTCGCCCTGGTAAAATCAATGCAACTTTTCTTGTTGACTTCCAAGACATTCAAAGTATAGTCTCCATGTGGCTCGCTCTGTGAATAATAATTCCAAGTTTTAAGTTGACTTTCAAAGGGGAAAAAGGTGCCATACAGTATATTAGTAAACCAAGATTGCTTCTTTGCTGTTTCATGTATACCTGAGCTGATTTTTGGATGTTCGGGTGCTCTTCTGTATGTGTTTTACACAACTCATGGGCACAATTTCATTGGAGTTTCAAGCTTTTGTTAAGCTCCCTCCTAAGAGACTATCAGAGAAAATAACCTCACAGAGAAGGAATCTGGTCGGGGACTCTAAATAGGTTAAAGCAGCAGATGTCAAGAAGAACTATAGCAAATATTTATTTTTGGAGCAGCATGAATGTAGTCCAGACATCCAAAGAGACTGATATCCTGACCATTTCACACGCAGCAGTTCAAAACAGTTCAGCAGTTGTTCTGGGGCAGTTTCTTTTCTCTCAAGAAAATATGAAAAAATGGTAATTCATTGATGTACATCCCAGGTTGTATATATTTAGTTCAGAGGTGTAAGTGAAACCATCTCCTCTCCTTCCTCTCCATATTTCATTAAAATGAGTCTTTGAGCTCTCTGGGAAAAGAGGGTCTGTGGTCTGAGAACCTGCAAAGCTCTGGGTTTGCTATGGAGTCTTCTGCACAAACTGCCTGTGGGTTTAAGACCCTACCTAACATGCCTAACAATTAGAAATAGCCCCTGAAGTTACAGCTGTTCCTTACCACTACTAAAAGGTGGACAGGGACAATTCTGCCCATCAAGGACGACTAATTGACAAGAACTGCTCTGCCTCCACATTGCAGTCTGTTTGAGAAAACGAGTCCCTTACAAAATAGGCTGCCCGAATGCACCCTGCATAACCTGCATTTCCTCTGGGCACTGCGAAGTCCCAGCAGCCCTAACACAGAGCTACTTAGTGCTTTTAGTCCAGGCTGAGCCAGCCAAGGCAGCGCCGGGGCCTGCGCGGGTGCTGCTGTGGCGCGGGCCGCTCCGGGGGCTGCCCAAGGGCGCCAGGCCTCATCCCGGAGCTCCACGCAGGCAGCACCTCTGGCCTCGCCTCGTGGGGATGGTTCCTGTTTACAAGAGGCGTTTCCTGGTGGGAATATCACTGGGGTGGGATTTGAGTGCCCAGGTAAAGACGAAGGCGTCGCTGTGGGCTGGCCAGGCCAGAGAGGCGAGCGGCGTGCAGGGAACTTGCGCAGTTACCAGGACAACAACGTGTTGGGCCCAGGGCTTTGTTATGTGGGAGCAACAGGCTGCTCTGAAAGGGCGGTTTAGAGAGTCCCTTGTGAGAAAATGCCTTTTGCCACTGGAAGAAACAGGTACAAGAGACGTCTGGTCACAGTTAACGTTTTGCCAGGTGACCGCAATTTCACAGTTAAAAAGAAAAAGCTTTTATTACAATTTTCTGAAAGAAATTATGCGATGAGCACTGATCAAATTGGCAGGAAACTAAACTGATCTTCCCGAGTCACCAGTGTAAGGTTTTGCATATTGTGCTAAGCCGCCATCAAAGTGAATAATAAACTACTGTTACTTTTCTACAGATAAGTTTGATATTTTAATGTGCAGCGTATCTGATAACAGGTGGCTGGACTGGTGCTAGTCTATGGCTTTCAGCTCAGTGAATAAGGGCTGCTTCTAGTGTCAGCATAGCTGAGTTTGCTCATGGGCATGTGTAAAGTAAGTGACTCTCCGGGGAGTTCTCATTAAGAAATTTTTGGAGACTTACTTTCAAAATTTCTAATTCTACTTGAGCCTTTCTCACTTGAAAGTTCAACTCTACACAAACTTAAGCATGGAAAAATAAGCAACAAAATTTGCTTTTTCTCAAGAAAACCTCAATCTATTTGAAATAGTGGTCTAAGCTAACAAAGGGTAGGAGGAGAGAGAGGAACTGAATGAAGAATTCCTGTGAGCAGTGGAATGAAGCAGCAGTTGATTTCCAGGCAGTTTCTCTCTCCTGCTGTTTCCTCGTGGCTTGAGGGATTGATTTGGAGGGCTTGGGTGTCTGTGGAGGCTGTTCCCTTCCTCTCCTCAACTAGGACTTGGGATAACCACCAAGAAGGTTGGAGACCAGGCTGCTTCCAATCAGCCATAAGCCCAGGTCTCTCACTTCCACGTGAAGTGCTGTGAACACAACTTGTCATGTGGTAGAGCTGCCACCAAAGGTACCTTAGGTCATGAGGAGACAGAGATAGCCAGTGGCCTTAAGCTGGGTTACTGACCCTTAGAAGGATGTGGCTGGATTTCCTAATGGTTCGGTTGACGTGTTTCTCTGTTTTTCATTCAGTAATATATGGAAATATGCATGGGCTGGGCTGGTCAACCTGCTGGGAGTGGCTATGATTGTGATGCTAAATGTAGTTAATTCTGAAACTTAGGAGTCTTAGCTTGGTTCCTAATGTTTCATATTTTTCTTAAGCTCCGTGTTCCTGGAAAAATACCATTCTGCTTAACTTGACTTAAGCTACATTGAATTTAGTATTGCAGCTATATCACAACATATATGATGTATATGTTGTTATTTAATAGGAAGACTTACATATTATTTTGGGTAATATATATATATATATATTTTTCTTTTTTTTCAGGTCAGGCAATAACATAAAGACCTGAGATCCAGGGAATGAGAAGGAAAGCAAAGGCATAGACCATCTCACTCTGAAGTTATTTGTACAAAAGTAAGTTCGTTTTTTCCTGCTAAATTTGAATGTGGCCTGTTTTCCCTGAGAACAAAAGCTACTGGCATGACATTTACATGCTATCAGGAAAGTCATATAATGTGTTCTGCATTTAGCTGCGTTTCCGTGTTTATCTGGGTAAACAGTTTGTGATCAGTATAAATTTTAACATGTCAGCTCAGCTTCTAAGTGAAGGACTCAAATATATTAACTAGAAAAGCAGCTAGAAGTATTTCATAGCCTCACATATTTGAAGGTAAGCTTAATCATCTCTGATGTTCATAGCTGCAGAGAACAGATGTCAGGACAAGTAAATAGGAAAGAAGAGAGTCGCTGCAAAATAGAAGCTAGAAGGGTCTGGAGATGTTTTATACTGGAAAGAGTTTTCCTCTAGCATAGGTTGCAGTTTTGATGATGGCTGTGTTACGAATTCTTCAGTCCCATGGTTCAGACCCTAAGGTTATCATGCCTGTTTTGGAAGTTTTGAAGTAAGCTTTTCTTGTTATCCTCTCCCTCCCCCACTTCGCTCTTATATTTGAGCAGCATAAATCTCTCAACATAAGAACAGAGATAGCCTTACTTGAAGTGACTGATAGCTGCTGAATAGTCATCTGTTTTTTAGTATATGACTTTCCTAAAAAAAAAAAAAAAAATTATTTTGGGGTCTTGAATGCGGTATTGTGTACAGTCTTCTGGAACAGACCTTTTTTTTGTAGTGTGCGTAGGCGTGGGTAGCTGCCAGTGCTTTCTCCCTCCTTTATGTGCTCAAGCAGACAGAGCGTCTGAAAGCATCAATAATAGGTTTAAAACACAGAAAGGAAGAAATAAGCAATGAAGTGTATTGCCTTCTGAACTGTATGCAAGTGGTGGTGCTAAAAGTACGACTTAAGACATGCTTTTTTAAAAAAAAGTTTTCAGGGATCTCTCATCACATGATTCTTGCGCTAGTCACTCAAGAGTTAAATGTAGCTTTCCTGAAGAGGACTCTTACTGTAAGGTTTTGTAACTGAAGTGCTCTAAAAAAAAAGAATAACCATTGAAGATTTTGAAAAGCTTTTTGGTTGGCAACTAAGTTAAGGAAGCTCTGAGGTTCTTGGCTTTGCTGGCAGCTGCTCTTGCTCACCAGGATCCTGGCACCCTATTGCTGAGCGCTCGTTGCCTGCATAGCTCCAGTTCTCCTGTCAGGCAATGCTACCATACAATACGTCCCCTGAGGCTGCTTGGATGAGTGACAAGCAGCCAGCTCCAAAGTGACAAGGGTTTGAATGTCTAATTGGGTCAGTGCACAGGTGCCTGCTCCTCATGAGTGAGATGTTCTAGCTTTTCTCTGTGACATTTTATTGTTTCCTCTCATTTCTCCTGTAGTTGTAAAGCCTAATTGTCGATGCTCTGGTGCAAGAGAATAGGCACTACAAAAGTGGAAGAAGGGCTTCTTGTCTTACATTAGACTGCTCTGGTTAAGCTCTGCTTACCACTCTAGTGTTGACTTCATGGGAGGCATGAAGAAAAGATGTTCTCAAATGATGGATGGATGTTGACAGTGTCACAGGCAATGTAGTGATTTGATTGGTGAGAACAAATATATGTTCTTAATCTGTATGTTGTGTATTCCCCATACTGGCTAGACCTTGAGTGATGGGCATCAGGAAATACTCTTGTATTTAGATACAGAGTATCTTGTATTTAGATACAGGCTGCTGCCTTTGGTCTCTTCCTAAGGGAACTGTAGAATCTTTGGAATGGAAGGGGCCACCCTCACAGTACACAGGTTTTTCCTTATGTCTAAGCGGAATTTGCTGTAATTCAAGTAGTCACCATTGCCTCTTGCTGTTTCACAAGGCAGCACTGAGAAAAGTCTGCCTTCATACTCTCTACAATCTGCATTCAGATATTTATTCACATTGATAAAATCCCCCTGATCCTTCTCTTCTTCAGGTTGAACAGTCCAAGCTTTCTCAGCCTCTCCTTGTATGAGAGATGCTCTAGTTAAGTGTCTCTTTGCTTGGACTTACTCCTGTATCTGTGTCTTTCTTGTGCTGGGGAGCCAGGACTGGACCCAGCGCTCCAGCTGCCACCTCAGCAGTGCCAAGGAGGAGGCTGGATCGCTCCTTCACAGAATCATAGAATCACAGAGTGGTTGAGGTTGGCAGGCACCTCTAGAGGTCATTTAGTCCAACCTCTACTCCAGCAGGGGCGCCTGGAGCACGTGGCAAAGGGCCAAACTCCAGGTGGGTTTTGAAGACCTGCAGGGAAGGAGACTCCACAGCCTCCCTGGGCAGCCTGTTCCAGGGCTGTGTCACCCTCACAGTAAAGAAGTTCTTCCTCATGTGGAGATGGAACTGTATTTCCTGTATTTCCTCCTTGCTCCTTGTGGTGCTGAAGGAGCTCTGCTGATGTGGCCCAACTCCTTCCCCACTGAGGTTTCCCTTCAAATGACAGGTCACGTTGGTCTGGCCTGCTTGCAGAGGCACAACTGTAAAACCTAATTTAGCTTTCCCCTTTCTGCGATGTAATTTGCAAAGCGGGATGAGAAGTTTAGTCCCACCAATTTATCACTCTCTGTGGCTGCTGGGTGGGACTGACTCCTGTTCAGCTTTGTGGTACAGGAAGTGTATGAGCCACTTAGGCAGGCAGTGCCACCCATTTGCTTGTCCTGTGACCACTGGTCCTGAACCTTTCCTCAGCCTCTCTTTTTGGTATAAAAGCTGAATTTTCAGCGTCTGTATTTTCATTTCATTTTTCACTGGCAAATGTTCCTTTTTCTCTTTCCATGTACAACCTGCCAAATGACTGCCTTAATAGACAGCTTTCTGCCTCCCTTTTCAAGCCTGATCAAAGACTCTTGGGGCTCTTTATCTTTGGCTGCCCCATGTGATGGTGGAGGAAAGTGCCTGAGGACAGGTGAGGAGGGAACTTAGTGGGAGGTGTTTGTCAACAGAAGATGAAGTTTAAAAATAAAAAGCTAGTCCAGAAAAGACCATGTCCATCATTTTTCAAGTAGGTGCGCACCAAGCACCAGCTTTTATTTTATTTTTGAGGATATATTCTTTCCCAGCTTTCTGAATGTTTTAAAAGTTGTATTTTAGGAGTCTCACTTTATATCACTTACAAAATGGAGTGTTTTCCATTTGCAATCCATGCTGTGCTACAGGTGTGTTCTGATATGGTATGTAGATCTGTAGGGTCCATATAAACGAGAAGCACTAATGTGTTCACTGCATATGGTTTTGCTCTCCATTTGGCACAAGTCTATGAGGGAGATTCTTCTTTATGAACTTCATGTCTCCAAGGGAGGGATAAATGCAAAAAGCTTTTCCTGCAAGAAAAAATTACTGAATTTCTGAGCTATTAATAACACATATTTTCCTCTGTGTGCATGTGAGAGAGAGGAGAGGAAGAAGAGGTAAACTTGAAACCCAAAGCTTTCTGTGGATATAAAACAGTCTTTCCCTTCTGCTCAAGGGTATCGCTCAAGGGCTGGAGAAGCAATCAGTAAGAGATCCCAACACTTCCCTGTCTCCGTGTTCTTTTTCTGCCCTTTCCTCTTTCCCTGCTTCTTTGTCTTCCTGATTGGCTTCACCAAACAGGTGCTTCTCACAGCTGCAGGCCTATGAAGTGCCCTTTGGGGCTATATGTATGTTTGATATGGATATCAGCCCTTATCAAATAGATTGGTGGATATCAGCCAATCCTGTTCTTGAAGTGTCTTTTTTTAAATTGTATTTGGCCTAAGGTAGGTACTTATAAATCCCACTCACTTCACGTTATGGGAAGTTATCAAAAACTTACCAATGGCTTTTTTTTTTCCTCCCCTATGTTATATATCCATTTTATCTAAGAATACCTCTGTTCAGTGAAACAGAAGAAGCTCTGCAGCTTCGTAGCCAACACTGTGACTATGGCACTGGGGCATTCGCAGTTATCAGAAATTAGAGCTTAAAACTTGTGTGCTGTTGTAGCAAATCACAGTGAAAGAGGTGCTGAAATAATTTGAAGATAGAAAAGTGCAGATTGCAGAAAGGGCTATAGTTTTCTGCACAAAGAATGATTTTCTTTATTCAGAACAAATAAACAAAGTTATAATATGAAAACTGTTTAACTATGATTAAATCCAGTTTCTTTTTTTGTTTTATTTTTTAAATGTGGCTTTCATTAGTTTCATATAATTTAACATATATGATACTTTTATTCCAACTACAGTTTAAATGACTCCTGGATCCCTGTTCCTCTTCTTCTTCCTACATGTGTACATGTATTCCAGTATTTTATAAAATGATGGAGAATTCAGAGGCAAAGATACGAGGAACAGAGATTAAAGCTTCCAAACTATATTTCATTTTTACTGTTTTCCAATTTTTAACCATATTTTTAGATAAAATATGATAATTGTCTTTTAATTTAAAACATGTATCTTTTATTCTTAGTAAAACACCTGGTGCTCTCTTTTTTCTGTTCTTTTTTAGCTACTGTGTTGCTAGGGCACCCTCAGGTATTACAAAGTACTGAGTGGGAGAAGGTCCCAGTGAAGTTGGAAAAGCAGGGAAATTATGTTGTATGAAGATCTGAGCATAAAATATCAGGAGTAATATTTGAGTTAAGCTGGGAAGATACCTTGTTTTGTATTAAAGTATGAATTTTTTGCAAAATGTTTATCCTTGATTTAAAAGCTAAATAATGCGGTTAAGGTCAGTTCCTCATAGGAATGCATTTCAGCCCAGTAGACAGGCCTGAGTATCTGATGTTTACAAATCTGAATTTTTTGAATTGACAATTTAAAAAGAATTCACTAAAATATTCGTAATAAAATGTCATGAGTGATTAGCATTCTTTATTCTAGTATAAAAATATTTTTGGCTTTGTAAAGCAGTTGTTTCCAAATGATAAAAACTAACTAGATTAGTCATATCATGCTAGGCTTTATGGCAGCTCAGTATTATTTCAATTTACATTGCCCTGCCAGATGATACATTTTCTTGAATTGGGTAAGCTGCATAATTTAT